TCCGGCCGGAATTTAGTAAACAATTTTGTAATGCGGACCAAAATTTCGAAGATCTTCGGTCGTTAGCCAATCAAAATCGAGGATCTGCCGCGCATTTTTTGTGCGGCACCTAGGGTAAATCATAGGCGCATACATTATTAAAAATGATTAGCACTAGATATAATTTAGGCTAGAGTATGATGCTGGGCGGAATTAAGAAATAGGAAAGCAAAAGTTTCGAAAAATTATAAAAAATTACGAAAAGAAAATAAATGAATGCAAAAGATGAGAAAGGTCGGGCAAAATTTTGAGCAAACTTCCGATATTTTTCAAAAGAAAAATATAAAATCATAAAATTATATCATGCGGTATCATCGTATTAATGCGCATTCATTTGCATGTTATTATAAAATGTGCATTTCCCCATCACTAACTGCAATATATAATAAATTAAAAATTTTTAAAGTTGTTTTTATTAATTTAATTGATTTTATTTAACATAATCTATTTTGAGGTTTTGTTTAATACTAGCCTGCAGGCGGTGCTTACACGCCTAACATCATTCACATACAAATTAGTCCTTGTAAACTATGTTCAAAATAAACTAAATTTTATAATTAAGCTATGTTTTAATTTATCATTATTATTTGTTTGAATTTAGTTAGTAGCATAAGATTGGCAAAGTTTAAATTGGCCATCAATTCATGATATTCATTATATTACGTATATTAAATTTCTCTTTGTATTTGTCATAACTATAAAAATTGCTTTTTGTATGCACAAGAATATATTTATTACGTAATATTGAACTTAAGATATATAAATTTAATAGTATCATTTATTGAAATAAAATGATTAATAAAAAGAATACAATAATAGATGTAGTGTAGACAAGACAAGAAAATATAAACCCGATAAGAAAAAAAATACAAGAACTAAAAGCTCGAATAAGAAAGATAATTTGAACTTTTGAAAATTTTTGAGAACGTTATAATTTTTTGGGGAGCCTAAAAATTTAATTTCTGTTCTCGGAGAACAAAAGATTTTTCATAGACTTCAGGTCTGAAATTTTTTACTTTGAAAATTAACACCTAAAAATTGTCTAGCCAAATATATTGTGGTTTCCACGACCTCTGCGCACACCATGCGCACGACCTCTTACTGTATTGTTTTGTTGTCTATTAGTTCTGCGTGAACTAATCGTTCCTCTCTAAAAAAAATAAATGAATAAATAATAAATATTTTTAATTATTAAAAACAAAATATTAACACATTTTCTTTTATTACCTGGGCATATTTATACGCTTCATAAATATTTGCAACTAATAGTGACTTCGGAAATTTATCGCGAATAACGTCATCGGACACCTCAACAGGCCAACAATCAATAAAAACATCTCCTGCCAAATAATCTGCATGGGTTTCTTCTGGATTATACATTTCTGATGACAAGTAACGGAACATAAATCTTTTCAATACAATTGTAAAAGCTTCGAGTGGAATTTTAAATTTGTTGGCATCGCTACCGCCAGCAACACCTTCATTGATTTCTTCTTTTATCCGTGAAGATAACTTAGCTTTATATTTTGTTGGAAGATTTTCCATTTCTATATCCGCAATTTTTTCTTCTACCAGTTCATATAATGCTACCACATGTTTTAGTTTCAAACCGTTGATCACTAGATAAAATTTAGGGTTCTCAGTTAGCGTTGATAATCTTATCCATTTACTGAGATAATCAATAATATCCATCTCACGAACTCCACCCGATGTTCGTTTCAAAAAACAAAGTAGAGTCTCTAGTTCTGATAATAGTTCAGTAGGATTATCAAAAACATCTGTATCAACAGCATTTATTTGTAAACGATTAATATATCCGTTTCTTGCGATCGGAGCTCCAGGTGTGGTCGTGGTAAAAAATTCAAGTTTTTCATCTGGAATTTGTTCTTGAGGAATTAATTTATTTATTTCACTTAATATGGTCCGAGAACTTGAAAATAGTTCTTGATGAAACTGGAAAATGTCCAACCAATGCGAGTCATTATTCTTATCGAGATAAACTTTATTGAAAAGCAGTGAGTATGCTAACTCTGCTTCGATTTTATACAAATCATATTGGAGTTCCTGTCCGTGACCAAGTTCAAGACCACTTGATTATAGCTAAACAATTTATGATCCCATTCAAAATTTATAATGTTTTTGGCACGCACTTCAGAAAGGGACAGCGATTTAATGTAATATTGATGCTGGTGCTGAGGTGCATTGTGATAATTTTGGTTTGTAAATTCTAAGAATCCTAACGAAGAACAACCAGGTTCAATTTTTAAAACCTGTTGCATGAATTCATTTTGCAAATTTGCTAAAAATTCGATAGCTCCACATAGATACAATGATTCATCTCTCTCTTCAAATAATGCATAGACTACAGGAAGGTTTTTAGTCATTTGAAGCATCGGGTTGTTAAATTCATGACATTCATATCGAACAACATGACTTCTAATTTCGTTCCATGCATCGGCAAAATCTTTAAGTTTTTCTGAAAATTGACTTTCATTGTTTTTAAGAAATTTGTCAAATGTAAGATTATGTGCATCTTGCCTTTTCAGTTGATAGCATAATTTTGAAGCAAGAATTCGAGAGAACTTCATAATTGGTATAAGATTCTTAACTAATGTTAATTTCTCCCGATATTTAAAGAACAATGACAAAAATGGAAATTCGTTGGCAAAATTTGGATAACCTATACAATATGCCTCTAAATTTCTAGGACTTGTTTTACCAATCCGTCTCCAAATTCGTGGATAAAAATCGAGTTGGTATTTTTCATCAACAACTAAAGTTTCATTAACTTCACTTTCAAGCGTTTGTTTAGTATCATTTATTTTCTCTAAAAATTTGGTTGCGGCATTGCGTGCATTAGCAGCTTTAGGATCTATGTAACGTTTAGTAAATTCATCTTCCCAATCTTGTCGCTCTTTTACTGTATTTAATTTTGTCATTACACTTTCAAAAACAAGAAATAGAATTCATTTGGAAACTGCCAGGGCACCTTTAGCTGGATTTAAAATGAAATAGATGTATTTTCTTTGATGAAAAAATATTATCATTATATAAAAAAAAAAAAATAGAACTTATAAGTCACTTATTTCAAAACTATTACAGTATTACATCACTAATTTAATTCGAAATCACCCTATTGCATTTTTTTTTTTAACTAAAATATCCATAAATCGAATTGATCCTGAAACAACCCCTTGGTTTTAGTATGTAATAACGGTTCTAATTATAGTTTTTAGTCCAGTATGGCCCACAAACAAATAGCTAAATGTATAAACGGTTTTTTATAACCCAGACCGAACAAGACCGAACTATAACATCGCTACATTCAGGTTTAATTTTTTGCATACATCTTATAAAGGCTAAAATTACAGTATTAAATAGATGACCATCAAATATAAGCTTCTGGCACTATACGTACATAAATACCTTTATTTTAAAGTTCGAGACATTGAACTTATCCAAGCAGAAATCAAAAAGTCTTTATTTGTTTGACATTTCTATAATGATTCCGAAGCAGTATTGGAAATCACATAAAAAAAATTATGTTCACAAAATCACTATATTGTTTTTTTTGAATTTCCAACACTGCTCCAAAGCTACAAATATCGGGCAGCTAATATAAACTTCTGTTTTGTCCCAATAGAATCTCTGGTGCAAGGCTTCATACATACCACCTTCTGTATCATTTTTATTTGTCTTTTTAGTAGATCCTAAACCTGAGATATAAGATTGCAGACTTCTACTAATGCCTTATCTTGAAAAATTACCACCGTAAAGATTCCACTCATGATATTAAATAAAAGAAATGTAAGTGTTTGTAACTTTGAATAACATTATAAATACTTGGAACGATCTTACATCATTTAACCTAGTCAAGCATAGTGTCATGTAGAGTTGATCAATTACTGTTGTGGCAGATTCAAAACACCATTTATATTTTTGTCCTTAGCCATTCCGCTAGAATCGCCATATTCAACACATTATAATATAAAATAAAATTATAAATAACAAGTGTTCATAAGCTTGAATAACTTATTATAAATAGATTAATAAATAATCTTATACTCACGCAATCTCGATCAGTTTTTTAAAATTAACACCTACAAAAAATTCGAATGGTTCTTCTTCGGAAAGAATTGTACTTCAGCACATCTGAAATATACTCAGTTGGTTTTATTAATCACAATGTTCAACAAATCTTAATACTATTCAAGTACTCTTCAATTCTTGGCTACAACCAGAAATTCACTTCATTCTTGGAAGTGCCCACATCTTACCGGAATCACCATTCGAATACCACCCAAATACCACCCAAATATTTTTTTTTCTGGAATCTTAAAAAAGATTATTATATTTGGTAAATTATGTGATGAAGTGCACAATACATTCTTGTTATGATGTGACAGATACATCATGCCAGATAACTAGTTTATCCGTAAGGTATGACGTATACACTGACAGAACCATATTATTGCCCAAATAAACTTTTTTTAATTAATAAATAATAGGAACTGATAATTCGAATGAATATATAAAA